AGGTGCCTGGCAATAGGCAGCCAGACTGCTGAGGACACAGCAGGGCCAGCTTGGGTATGTTCCACTGTGCACCCTGAGCCCAGACTGCTGAGAAAGAGCTGTGAGAAAGTCAGTGGGATGCTAGAAAAATAAAGGTACAGTCAAGGGTAGGGGTGTTGAGACGGGGGTGGTCAGTTGCTCAAGGATTCAGGAGGAAAAATGGCCACGCATGAGCTCCTGAAGGAGGAAAGCAGGGAGGCTGGTCAGGATGAACGGCAAAGCCTGGGCTCATCAGGGTCAGTCAGATCTCCAACTCGAGTCACTTGTGTGGGCAAAGTGGGTGGGAGACGGCAGCTCTATGACACCCAGACCTGGCCCGTCCCCTCCCAGTGCCCCTGACGCCAGCAAAAGCTCCATGGGTGCCACATGGAGGAGCAGACCTCAGCCTGACAGCTCGTTAAATCCTACCTGTCCTTCATGTCTGTTAGGTCATAAGTAACTGATTTACACTTCTAAGTTGCATTTCTCCTACTTGCAGAGTCTCTTTGCACATAGCTAAAAATGTCCAAACAAGCTGACCCAAAAAAATGGGCTATAACAACCGTGTTTTTCAAGTGGTCAACAGCCCATTCTTCCACCCCTGCTCCTCCAGATGACCCTTTGCTGTAAGACCGAGGAGTGACTTTTGTTCTTGCTCAGGAGCCCTAGTTATCCAAACCATGATTTCACATACTCAGACACGGGAAGCAGGAGATTTTAGCAAGGATTTGATCTCCACTTGACAATTCTGGTACCTCATATCACACATCTACGGTTTCTTTGTCTCTCTGTAAATTTATTTACTTATTGTGTCTTTTATTAATGCACAATGGATGTGCATTAGTGAGGCAACCAAAGTAGAATTAAATTGCTTTCCTATCTACTTTTGCTTTATAAATCAACAGATCTGTGACAGTAATGTGTTTTAAACACACAGAAATGCTGGATACTTCTTTTCATAGTGAGTTGTCCAAATATTTGCTTGCTATCCTCAGAATACTTATATTCTCTAAACAAAAAAATATATCACTTCTTTCTTTTGCACTTTATATAAAAGCTTAGCTTTGCCTCTTCATTCACTTCTATTACCTTTGTTATTTTTCACAGACCTGTACACAGGTCTATATATTTCTTTAATAGGTTTTAAATTTTACTGCAGCCCCTTGTTATTGGCTCCCTAGCCAATTTACTTTACTCAGCAATATGATCTATTTGAGTGGAAATGGGAACTTTATGCAATAGTGTCCCTAGACTTGTCTGAATATATTATGCTCTGAGCCACACCGGCCGGAGTGCACCTTTATCTTAGAAGCTATGCAGTCTTGCAACACTTGCACAGGGACTGCTGGAAACCCAAGGTCCCGTGACCATGCGGGGCGAGGAATTGAAGATTCTGTGAACACAAGATCACTAAAGGACTCTGTGTACAAGTTATTAAGCTGAAAGGAATTAAAAGAATAAAAATGTTTAGGGGGATGCTCCACTGAGGATCCCATCCAGCACTGGAAAATTTCCTGGACTGGTAAGAGCAAGCAGAATATTTCTAAACCCATCCTTCATCAGCCCATGATGGGATGCACCATTCAGAAAACTGGTTCCAGTTTTGCCTGGATGTTTTCAGGGCAGGCCAAGCCCTCAGCAGGGCTCCAAATGCAAGCATAGTTAGATAGATTGAAACCGCTTTTAGATTTCACAAGCCTCCTTCCAGTCTTACACTCAGCATAGCTTACCGAGAACAGAAAAGCCAAACACATCTAGTTCAGATGCTCGTTTATAGTTGGGTCAACTGGAAGAGAGCTTCCAAGCAGGTCTAGAGCATGGTTTAGATTTAATCCCATATATCCCAACTGAGACACCTTTATCAGTCTACTGTCACATCCAATTTATCACTGTGTCACTGTTATAGTCTTGTTCAGTCTCTGAAAGGACTGTATGATGGGGTAGGCTGCAGCAGGGAGAACAAGGCTCATCAACCCTGACAGTCTACTCTATTCTTTTATTCCTGTCCCATTGTGTGTCCATCACTCTGTTTTTTAGCTCTACGTAGCCATTTTTTTCTGTGACAAATGTTCTTACTTCCTGCCCTTGCTTGATTAATCTTTTCACCAGCTGTATTTGTGTTTGCAGAGTATGTGTTGCTATGCATTCATTTCACCACCTCCACACCTCAGAGCATTGGCAACAATCACTTACATTCTTTAAACAAAAATGCTGTTAACTCTTTGCATCCAAAGTAAGACAAAGAAACGTCAGTATTATGGATTGTGACTAGACAATGATTTCGCTGTAAGAGTCTGTGCACCGTAGGAGGCAAAAGAGGGACAGCATCCCCTGGGAAGGCATATAAGAATAGACAACATCTGGCTTGACAGAGTCATGGGTCCCTCTCTGTTTGCTCCTTACTTTGTGGAATTGTAATTATTAGCAACAAATAAATATACATGCCCAACACAAGCTGGCACTTAATGGGGAGGAGAGTGGGTGGCAGAGCAGCAAGACGTTTGTGCGTTGTTAAATAACAAGTAACTAAGGTTCTCGCAAGCACTCAAGAATAAGTGCTGTAGCTCCTGGGTTTTGAAAGATCAATGACATGGCCATCTGCTGTGCACTGACAACAATTTCCTGCCTTTGTATCAGCTATCGGAAAGATACTGCCCACCCAAGGCCTTGGTGGATTGTGCTGGGTCCCTGGAGAGGTGCTTGCTTTCTTCCAGGCTGCATTGCCGAGGCTGAACACCACATTTTGTCCTGTCAGTCACTTAATTAAGACTTGACTATTGGATGTGGCAGGTGCAGCTTGCGGTGCCAGCGGCCAATATCTGTATGTTCCCGTCCTGCTGCTTCCCAAATGGAAATGTGCAATAGCCTTAAAGAGAGTTAGTTTCTGTCTTTGTTTTTGCTTTAAAGTATTTGAACAATTTACAGATAGGCTTTTTTTTTGTTTCTTTGATTAGGTTTTATTTGCTCCTTATATTTATTTCAAAGAGGGCATCGTTACAAAGAGCTCCAAGGACAGTCTGTGCTGTTTTCCTCGCTCCATAATTTTCTCCTTACAATTTTTCTTCAAAGGGTGAATAATACACCATTCAATGCATTGAAACTGCACTCTGCTAATAGAAACGCTGCCTGGAGCTGCTTCGAAATGGTGCTCCAAACCAGCCCACAGCACTGAGCAATCTGTGAGCTGGGCACTGGGAGTCCCCTAGTATTGCCGTGTCCTGGCAAGTAATTTTGGTATTCATGGGAGTTATTGCCACAAAGATTTGAATCTTCTGTGCTGGGTCTTTCAGGTCTCAGCAGGATTTGTCTTCAAAACTTTGAATTGTTTGCCTAATGCAGTGTTTCAGAACTGGCAAAGAGTCCTTACACAGAATCGCCCTGTCCTCTGATGGCAGGACATCTCCTTCAGACAGTCTGTCCTTCTGCCTTCTGCCTCATTTGGTTCCTTCCCAGCTCACCTTCCCTCTTGTGCCCCTGCTTTCCCGCCTGACAGCCATGCGGGCAGGTGCTGCTCACTTCTGCTTCCTATGGGCATCCTCATTTCAGCTCCACGACAAAGGTCCCTCCCTCCATGCTCTTTGCGTCCCAGAGCCTGGTCTCTCCCCAGCAGCACAGTATCCATCTATGATAAATCTTCAGTTCTTCCTCCTCCACAATTTATTTTCACATCCTAGTTTATCACTTCAGAGAAAGCACTGGCAAGAGAAGTCAGTGAAGGTTCCTACCAACTGGTCATTCATTTTATTATGTATTTTTGGCAACAGTCTTTTTTTTAAGTCATTTGTGCCTGCCAGAGAAAGTGTGCGGAGAGTCTGCCAACACGGAGTGAGCTCCTGAGATTTTCCCGTACGTCTCCTGCAGTGAGCACATTTCTTGAAGTCTCAGCTCTGGGAATGCTGCGATCATTTGAGAATCTGATTTCATCTTTCCATGGAGTAAGTCGTGAGCTCTCGTGATTATGGAAAAAAAGCCTGGGCGATGATCGAACTGGACACACGCACCAGAGCAACCTCAAGGCTCGCTTTATTGAAGCTCCTCTCCAAACCCATCTCGGGAATCTGGGGCTCGGAGGGGGCTGACCGGTGAGGTTTGAACCCTGGCAGCGGGACCGGCCCCGCGCCGGCAGCCGCCCGGGGGGGCGGTGGCGCGGGCAG